GGCTTCTGCCGCATCTACCAGCACTTCTGCTCTTCTCTCTTTGAGGTCTTCCTTGATCGCATCTCTGCACTGCTTTGCGAGCTCAGACGTTCACTTGCGGTTGCCTGAGGGATGCGCCAAACCACGTTGGCGAATAAGCTCAAGAGTTTTCAAAGACAGACATATTTTTGTGTCTCTCTCTCTCTCTTGGCGTTCCTCCCACAATCATGGAGGTGCTGAATCAGTCGATCGTATTCCTCGTCAATGTTGTCAATAATGGCATCTTCCCATGTTGCCGCAATAGTGCCAAAGAGCTCCAGTTGGTGGTCGTTCTGGGAGTTCTCTTTTTAAACTTTGCAGCCCTTTCTCCCCACTCTGAGAAGTAGAATTTTGCATGAAGGAGATGATGGTCCGATCCCATTTGGAATTTTGGGACAACAGCGACATCTGCAGGCAAAACCATTGATTGAATATGATGTGGTCTATTTCGTTGTGAAATTGTCCACTGGGAGACTCTCATGTCCAACGTTTAGATTCGGCCTTTTGGAATCTTGAGTTACCATGTATGGTCTTGGTCGACATGATGAACTCAGACAGCCTCTCACCCCATTTGTTCCATTCTAGGCCATGGGTCCCGATGTGAAGTTCTTTGGCTGATCTTCTCGGTCCTAACTTGGCATTAAAATCACCCACAATGATCTTGTAGAAGGTGTGGTCTTCTTTATAGAACTTCTCCAGCTCCATGTAGAACTTCTCAATTTCTCCTTCATCATAATTGGATGTTGGTGTGTAGACAACGAAGATAGAAACTACCGGCAGTGAGCCACATATATTCAAATGTAAAAGTCCGATTCGGGTTGTTAGGCATTCGAATGAATCAATGCTCATGGCCAAGTTTGTGTTGACAAGGATACCGACGCCTCCGACACCTCTTTTATTGCAGGTTCCGAGTTACAATTCTTCTCCGGTGTCAAAAACGGAGTGATGAGATTGGTGCCTTCTTGTCTCAGTCAGACCACTGATGTCGTACTTGATATTTCGCGCTTGTACCATCAGGTCCTTGATGGATGCATCTGATGATAGCGTACGTGCATTGAAAGTACAGACAGTCATTTTTGTCTTCCTTCGTTGTGGCAGCCTAGTTCGGCCTTCAGATTTTATCGGCCTCTCCTTTCTCATCCTTCTCAATGCTGCAATATTGGTGACGCCTTCAAGGTCAGGGGAATGAGACCCATTGTAGTTATTGGTTTTGGCATATCGAATACACAATGGATAGCTTTTGGGGCTCTGCCGTGTGGGCGGAATACTCTTGGTAGCTTGCCAGGCTTTCCGAGAGGGATAGAGACTTTTGGGGAGACCTCTAATCACCCTTGTAGGTGTTATCATATTTTAACCCTATCAAATATGGTACAGCAATTCTGGAAGATGGGTATTTAGTGTCTTACAATGACAAAGCGGCCACGCGAGTCCGGAAAGCATCCTCGAATGTGGCAGTGGCTGGGTAGTGGAAGCAGTGGAGGAAATATACAAGAAATAAACCTTATAAATGTAAAGAATGGATGAAAACTTTTTACTGGAAATCAGACCTTCCAGTCTGCAGTGATACTACAGCAGGTAGGGCGTTTGCCTTGCATGCAGCCGACCCGGGTTCGATTCCCAGTATCTCAATATGGTCCCCTGAGCACCGGTTGGGTCGATTCCTAAGTACAGAGTCAGGAGTAACCCCTGTGCATTGCCGGGTGTGACCCAGAAAAGAAAAATGAAAGAATATAGGAGTAGAGTTTCTGTGAAATTAAACTTCACTGAACATGAAGAAATCTGACAAAGGAGATAAAGCCTCTGAATATGGAATGTACATAAAGATTCAATGTGAAATAAAATTTCACTGAACATGAAAAGGATTCACAAAGCAAAAAATCCAATGACTGTACACAATATAAATCTCGGAGGGATGGGGGTCAGCCTAGGGACAGCCCAAATCCTGCAAAACCGTCACCATGCCATTGGCAGGACCTCATTGCCTTGGTACCAAGCCTCTCCTGCAAATTAACCTGCTGAATATTCAGGTATATGTGTCTTTGTGATTGGAATCCCAAGGCTTTCTTAGAGTCAGTATGGGCTACCTGCACTCTCCTTACTGTATTTCCAGAAATCCTGGTAATCAGGCCTATGATCCACCTCTGCCACATGTAAGCTCATCGAATTACAGTACTCTACTTTATGAACCCTTGAAAAAGTCTCATAAATAGATCTCAAGAGAGTAAAACCAGCCACCAAACATCCTTCGGACACCCAAGCATGCCTGAGACATCAGGGTCACGTGAAAGATGTGGGGCCAGCTCGGGGAACTCCCAAACAGAACCCCAGTAGCGCCTTGCTCCCAATCTGCGAGAACATCAAATAGCATTTGCAAGATCTTAAAGGGAACTTCGACACCCAGACCCTCCATAAAAAAACACTTAAGAATTGTCCAGGGGAAAAAAACAGCCAAGAGTGTGATTCAAGGGCCTGGATAAACAGGTAACTGATGCCTTCCAAGGCCTCAATCCAAAAGCCTTGTGGTAAAACATAACTCATACTACGGACAGGGCTGGAGTGGTGTAATAGTTTGATCTGTCATGTTATTTTTAGGATTCTGCCTCCTGTAGTGATGAATAGTCTACTCAGAGGACTCCTGTTTATAAGCCCATTTTAGCCTACTTCGATGAAAAATAAAATCCAAAAGTAGGAGATTTTGAGGTTCTTTTTGGCTCAGCTACCAAGACATCTGGATTGGATAGCCTGTGAGAATGCTCTGCGTTCTGAGGCAATGGTCTCAATACGCTGGTCCAGATAATGACTCATGTCATAGGACCTGATATTGCCAAGATGAGTACATATTGACGGTTTTGCAGTGTCTGGGCTTGAAAAATGGGGTACTGTCACTGTATTGAAGCGATAAGACACCTCTGTTTTTGCTAGGAGAGCTTAGAGAGCCCATACAGCACGCATTTCCTGTAACTGCATGTAGATCGTGAAACCATCAACTTCCCCTTTTTGTGTCCCTCTTACCACATGCTCTCATCCTGCATGTACTGATTTCCTTCTGCCCCTATATAATCTCTGCTTACCATGAATAAAGTTGTATACTGACCACCAGATATTAGTCTGTGTCTTTTAACCACCCGTCAATAGTCTACTTTGCTTACCAGCTCCATGAACCAGGTAACCATACAGCCTGAAAGTTCACCTGGGGTTCAACCCAGGGCGGCTATGTGCAAGGCAAACAATCTATCCACTGAACTTTTGCTTCAAAGAAGCCTTGTTTTAATACTTATCTTCATGATTTCCTAAGATATCTCGTGAAATATGCTGCAGTTCTTCCCAGTGCCAGAGATTAGTACACACCATAGGCACACCACCAGAGCGTGGTATACAGCAGAAGTCCTATTTTTCCTCAGTATATTTTTACCACTTTCTGGAAAACAATCTCTTAGGAATCTCCAGACTACTGTTCTGGTCTTTACTTTATCAAACCTTAACAAATTTAACATGGACCGAAAACAGACATCCTCTCACCAGAGAAGATGGAGTGGAGGGCGAGCAAAATAGGGTAAGGGGCTTAAGGGAAACACTTTCCCTTCAGAGGACACCAGGATAGAGAATCCCTATTAACTGTGCAGCTCAATTCTCCCCTTTAGGTACTAAGATACTACCCAAAACATTCTACAGATGTTCTCTGTGGTCATTAAAACTCCGTGACATTCCTCAGAGACCCAGAACAAAGTTTAAGGACATCTGTTAAGGAACCATCAGAACAAATTCTGAATACACACTAAGAGTTCTAAGGAAAGAGAATATGCAAGCATGTCCAGCTCCTGACTCTGAACTGGACAAAACCCAGAGCAATTAAAAGAGTATGGCCCTTAATTGTAAACATCTAGTCAGAAACGGCCAATTTGGTGAAGATAGCTTTTAAAAAATTTTTATTAGTGACAAACCATGAGGTACAGTTGTAGACAAAGATAGCTTTGACAGGGAGGAAAGGGTAACAACAGCTGGTTCCATCAGACCTCACAGGCAGTGTGGGTGGCAGTGGGGATGGCACAAAAGTGAATTGAAAGACGCACTCTCAAGGAGCAAAACTCAAAATGGGGAAATAGACCAGATCCCTGCCACACCAAGGAAAGATGACAGCCTTAGAGATTCAACCACTAATAGTCAGGTATATAAACACAGATAAGTGCTTGAGAGGAAATTCTGAGGGTGTGCTTGTAAAGTGGCAGTCAAAAAACCCACGACTTTTGTATAAATAAATAATGAAATAAAAGAGGGAGATATTGAAAAAAATAATCCAATTACCTACTAGCTTAACAAAAAGAGGTGAATGCCCAATACAAGGAAAGCTACAAAACATTATTTAAATGAAGGATACCAGGTTTACAAAACACATTCATTGCTTATAAACCAGGACGAGGAATACTGTCAAAATGGCAATACTCTCCAAAGCACTATACAATTTAATGCAATCCCAAAACATGTAAGAGTTAAACATCCATGAAATTCATTTGGAAAACTCCCCCAAAGTAGTCAAAGCAACCCTAGTGGAAGAACATGGGAAGCATCGCATTCTAACCTCAAACTCTACTACAAATCTGTAGTAATTAAAATCATGTGGGACTGGAATAAATTAAACTCTCAGATCAACTGAAAAGAATTGAAAATTCAGAGAGATATAAGAAAAAAAAAGGAAGAGGACCACAAATGTCCCCAAAACAATAGAAATGGTATCTGCCTATATGGCCCCAGGAGTAATTCCTGAATGCATAAGCCAGGAGTAATCGCTGTGCAATGCTTGGTGTGACCCAAAAAGTTAAAAAAAAAAAAATAAAAGCTAAAAATAAATGAAAATCTACAACATTTAAAAAAAAGAAAAGGAAAGGGAAAGGGAAGTGGACATGAAGTGGAGAGGGAGAAGAGGGGAGAGGGGACTGAGAAAGTAAATGGGGAGGGTGAAGAGAAAGAGGGAATGGGAGCGGGAAATGGAGGGGGAAAAATGTCGGGAGGAGACACGTGCCGGTTGTAGTGCGCATGCGTCCCCCTTGTTACGTCCCGACGTGCCTAATCTCTTCCGGTTTGAATGATCTCCTCCGGGGGAGCTCTAGTCCAGTGGGATTGCGCGCTGAAGCCGGGCGACCTTTAAACGGCTTTTTCCAGAGGTTGTTACATCCGCATCTTGAAGCGGGAACCGGTGGAAGATGAAGTAAGGCTTCGGCTGTCCTCCGTGGAGTGTGGGAGTTCGGGGCTGGAGGATTGGGATGCGGGGCGGGAGGAGCTGAGGGAAGGGGCGGGGGCGAAGCGTCCGAGGGCGCTGGGGTCGCGAAGCCTGGAAGGCGCCGAAACTCTTCCAGGGGAGGCCTAGTTCGGTGCTCTCGGTCGCCGGGCCGTTTCTTTACTCTGCGGCAACTTCCGCAGCCCGTTGACGAAAGTGAAGTTAATCAACGAGCTCAACGAGCGAGGGGTCCAGCTGGGGGTGGCGGAGAAGGTGTCCTGGCTCTCCGAGTACAAGGACAGCGCCTGGATCTTCTTGGGTGAGTTCTGCCGCGGTGCGCCTCGGGTTCCCTCCACCCCCCCCGGCTTTCGAGGGAGGGTTTCAGCCTTCCGCCTCTCTTCTCCCGTTATTCCTCTCCTCTCCCTGGCTCTCGCCCCCACCCACCCCGTTTAGGTGACACCCAGCGATGGTCCGGCGTCACTCGGGGCTCTGCATTCAGCAGTTCCTTCTGGCGGTGCTCACAGAACCTATGGGATGGTTCAGGGATGGTGCCAGGGATCGAACCTGGGTCAGCCTCGTGCAAGACGATTGCCCTACCCGCTACACGAGCGCTCCAGCCCTGCCGGCATGTATTTCTGCTTCTTATTTGGAAGGCCACACCAGGCGGTGCTCCTGGGTTTCTCCTGGCTCAGTGCACCGGCATCACGACTGGTGGTGTCTGGGAAATATATGGTATGCCAGAGATGGGAACCCGACATTGGCGACGGTCACGGCAAGTGCCATACCCACGGTACTATTTCTCCGGCACCCTTATTTCTATTCTTTTTCCAGGTTTTCATTTTTTCCCTCCCGTTTCCCACCCCCACCCATTCCCTCTTTCTCTTCATCCTCCCCATTTCCGTTGTCAATCCCCTCTACCGTCTTCCCCCCCTCCCCTTCATGTCTACTTCCCTTTCCCCTGTCCTCCTCTAACGCCTCTCCTTGCTCTCTTCTCCCCTTCCCCTTGCCCTCTCCTTCCCACTCCCCTTGCTCTCCCCATCCTCTGTCCTCCTCTAATTTTTAATGTTGTACAGTTTTATTTTTAATTTTTTTACTTTTTGGGTCACATCCGGCATTACACAGGGGTTACTCCTGGCTTATGCACTCTGGAATTACTCCTGGGGCCATATAGGATGCTGGGAATCGAACCCGGGTTGGCCACGTGAAAGGCAAACGCCTTACCCAGTGTTCTATCGCTCCAGTCCCTGTCTTCCTCTTACCCTTCTCATTCTCTTATAATCCTCTCCCTTGTTCCTTCTTCCCTTCCCCCCATCATCCTCTTTCCCTCTCCTCTTCTCCTTCTCTCCCCTCCTCCTTTTCCCCTCCATTTCCCCAATTTTCTCTCTCCCCCTTGCCTTTCTCATGCCTCTCTTCCCCCCACTTCTTCCCTTTCCCCTTATCCCTCCCCTTCCTCTTTTTTTGCCTTCATCCACCTCTCCCACCTCTCCCCCTTTCCTCTTCCCCATGCCCTCCTGCCCTCCCTCTTTTCTTTTTCCTTACCTTTCTCTTTCCTTTCCCCTTCCCCCCTTTCCCCTTATCTCTTCCACCACTTCCCCCTCTTTCCTTTCCCCTCTGCTACCCCAACACTCCTCTCTTCTCCTTCCCCCTGCCCCTCTTAACTTTCCCCTTCCTCTCCTTGCTTTGCATGGGACACATTCCTGGCTGCTTTGAACAATCTCATAAGTCATACTAATAAACGCATTTATAGCGGTAGGGCATGTTTGAACAAGGATTTATTTTTGTGAAATGCCTAAAAGTTTTCTTTATAATCCTTAGTGTGTGTGAGGTAGGGTTAGTATTTGCATATTCAAACTGATTTTGGGGGGCAAGGAGATAGCGGGTTAGGAGCGTAGATTATTAAACTAGGTCTGATGTCCCGCAGCACTGAAAGCCCTTCTCATAGCATCAACAGTTGTAGCCTTGGTGGCTCCAGAGCACTGCCAGGTGGCACAGGATGTTGCACAGTCTGCAATGTCAGTGCAGCACCACATCCTTGGGCCCTTCCACTGAGTTGTGTGACCCAATATCCCGAAATGGTCCCTGGGCTCTGTTTGTAAGGACCCCTTGCAAGCATTTGATTTTGAAGGTAGCTATGGTGGATAAAGAGCAGATGACTTCAATATTTTTTTCTAATTTTGGGCCACAGTGATGCTCAGGCTTACTCCTGGTTCTGAGCTCAGGGCTTCTTTCTAGTGGGGCTTGGGGACCATCTGTGGTGCAGGGAATTGAACCTGGGCAAGCTGCACAGAAGACAGACTCTCTACCTGCTCTAGTATGACTCTGGTTAACTTTGTACATATGTATATAAACACACACATATATTTGTATGCATACACACATATGTATACACACATATATGCATATACAATCATAATCAAAACATTTATTTTGGTTTTGGGGCCACACCTGCTGTGGTCTGGAGTTACTCCTGGCTCTTCATTCAGAGATCACTCTGGGTTTGGAGGAATCATATTGGGTGCTGTGGATCAAGGTTGGGTGGCTACATGTAAGGCAAGCATCTGCTATACTCTCTCTTTAACTGCTGACAATATATTTTAAGATATATTTGTCGTGTTGGAAACTAACTCCTTTGTCTACAAAGTTTGGTTCTGAAGGCCCACAAGAATATTCGGGTAAGGCCTTGAACTTGGCTAAAATTAGTTGCATACCACTTTACCACTTGCCATTTATAGTCCCCTGAATACCTCTAGGAATGATCCTTTCGCATAGTTGGATGTTGCAACATAATTGAAACCGAGCCTTTCAAAAATTAAAAAATTGTTACTCCTGGCTCTGCACTCTGGAATTACCATTGGCGTTGCTCAGGGGACCATATGGCATGCTGGGAATTGAACCAGGATCGGCCACATGCAAGGCAAACGCCGTATTCACTGTGCTATCGCTCCAGCCCCAGGGTTGCAGATTATTAAAGTAGGTGTCGTGTCCCCCAGCACTAAAGTCCTGCTCACAGCATCAACCCGTGTGGCCTTGGTGGCCCCAGCGCACTTCCATGTGGCACTGGAGGTTCCCCAAGCTGTAGTGCCAGTGCATCACCACATCCTTGGGGCCTTCAAGTGAGTTGTCTGACCCAGTATCCAGGGAATGATCCCTGGGCTCTGTTTGGAAGGCCCCTTTGAAAACATTTTTTGAGCTACCGAGAGTATTCGATATGCCAAACACAGTAACAACAAAGTCTCCAATGGAGACGTTACTGGGCCCGCTCGAGCAAATCAACGATCAAAGGGAGGGCCTTTACATTCTACCTTTTATGGTGTATAAAGAGTGAATGACTTTAAATTTTTCTTTGTATTTTTGAGCCACATTCATTATTGCTCAGGCTTACTGCTGGTTCTGAGCTCAGGGCTTCCTTCTGGTGGGGCTTGGGGACCATATGTGGTGCAGGGGATTGAACCTGGGCCAACGACATATAAGGCAAGCTCTCTTCCTGCTGTAGTATGACTCTGGTCAAAAATATATATGTATATATATTTATATATGTATGTATGTACGTATACACAGATACATGCATGCATACGTACATATATGTATACACACTTATATATGTATATATAATCATATATCCATACACATATATTTTGGTTTGGGAGCCATACCTGCTGTGCGATGGGGTTACTACTGCCCATACATATAGAGATCACTGCTGGGCTTCGGGGAATGATATTGGGTGCTTGGGGTCAAAGTTGGGTTGGTCCATGTAAGGTGAGCATCTGCTATACTATCTCTTGAACTGCTGATAATATATTTTAAGATATATTTGTGTTGTTGGAAACTAACTCCTTTGCCTACAAGTTTTGGTTCTGAGGGCCAGCAAGTGTATTCAGGTAAAGCCTTGAACTTGGCTAACCTTAGTTGCATACCACTTTACCACTTGCCACTTATGGTCCCCTGAATACCTCTAGGAGTGATCATTTTGCATAGCTGGATGTGGCAAGATAATTGAAAAAAAAAACATTTCAAAAACAAAAAAGATTGGGGGGGTTTGAGGAAAGTTTTTTTGGGTCCATTACTGGTTTTCTTTTTGTTGTTGTTGTTGTATTTTGATTTTGGAACATTTCTTATTAACTTTTTTGTCTTATTTAGGGGTGCTACACCAGTGGTGCTCAGGGATCACTCCTGGTGGGGCTGAAGGAATGATATGGGGTGCTAGGGATTGAACCTGATTGACTGCATGCAAGGCAAGAGCTCTACCCACTGTCGTGCTTTAGCTCCCTCCCTATAAGTTTTTATAGTTAACCTTCATTTGTTATCTGGTTCTAGCTTTGTCTTCATAGTCAATATTTAAGTTTTGTTTGTCATCCATTCTGAACATTTTACTTCAAATAGTGTCTTTTTTTGTTAAATAGATATGGTGAGATTGTTAACATAAGTCTGGTACACAATAAGAAGACTGGGAAATCCAAGGGATTCTGTTTCCTTTGCTATGAAGACCACCGGAGCACAATTCTGGCTGTTGACAATTTTAATGGCATCAAGGTGAGTAAAAGTATGAAGCAGGATTTGGCGGAATGTTTCTGATGGAATGGTTGAGTTTCCCTCCCTGCCCAAAACAGAGGTCTGCATACTCCTCTATCCAGATCTCCCGGTTTCCAGTAGCTTGGTGGCCACACCCACAATTCACCCTCAGCACCATGTAATCTCATATACAGCCAGCCAAGAAACAGAGAGTATAAAATAAATCTCCCCCAATAGAGCAACGCAGTTTTTTCCTGGACAGTGTGGCCAATCAGTCAACAAAAAGCTTGAATTCGCTAGATTGGGGGCAACTGTAAGAGTGATTAAATGCCGCCCCAGAAGCCTCCGTCCTTCTCGGAGAGCCAGCATACTAGCGAGAGTATTCCGTATGCACGGCAGACTGTCAAGATCCCCGTGGCATATCCAATATGCCAAAAGCAGTAACAATAACGAACCTCATTCCCCGTACCCTGAAAGAGCCTCCAATACGCCATTGGGCTATTCTAGCACATGACAGGGTTAATGGAGTCATTACTGGTGCCCGCTCAAGCAAATCGATGATCATCAAGATGACAAGTGACAAGTGACTGGTGTAAAATATGCAATTCAAAGAATTTCAGCTGTGTGTTGGTATCACTGTCTTTATAATAAAATAAGATCTTGAGGTTATAAAGAAACAGGGAACAACAAATGGCGACAGTCATTGAAATTGAAGGTTTTGTTTGCAAGAAAAGTGTAGGCAGTATTCTCATAAATCCTTCTATCACAATGGTTTAAATAACAGAGATTCCTGCATGCTGAGAAAGTGCCACGGTGTATGAATTCTTATTTTTCTATTCCTGAAAGGGGGCTTTTGATTGTGGGGAGAAAAGCACCCCCAGTATCTTCCGCAGTGAGGCAAGTACTGGTTCTTACTAGGGCACAACAAATTGAGGCTGAGCAGGGTGCATGTAGAGCAGACATCCTCAGGCCTGGTCTTAGGAGGCCCCCCCCCACCATGCCATGTTTCAGGGTTTACCAACCAGATGATCTTGGCTTTGACATAGCAGACCCACGATGTATTAAATATGGAGCATTTATTCTCGGAGTTCTGTGGCTCTATTTGCACTTCTCTGGTAGTTCTAACTGTGTCCATTTCTCCACTTTTGGAAATGAGGGTCAATTTGTACGTTCTGCAAAAACGCTCTCTTAGTCTTTTTATAATCCTGAACTGTCATCCATTTGCCATCACCCTGATAGAGAGCATTAGTGCAATTATCATCATCTTTGTAGTGTAGGCCTTATTCCTCCCATAGTTTTTCAAAGTGGAATCAGCTTAACTGCTGGACCAACCTCTTTTTCCCAGGTTATCTCCAAAGACATACTGAGCAAGCTATCTTAGGCCCCTTGATCCCCACCTGACAGTGTGGTGTCTTAAAATATAGTTTATTTGGTTTGGGGTGGGGGTTGGTTTGGGGGTCACACTCAGCTCTGCTGTGCTCAGTGCTTAATCTTGGCTCTATGGCTATGGTGTTCAGAGTGCCGAGAAGACCATATGCAGTGCCAGGATTGAATGTGGGGTTGGCTATGTACAAGAAACGCAACTATTTTTTTCATTATATGGTCATGGTCCTCCTGTTGTTCATCGATTTGCTCGATCGGGCCCAGTAACGTCTCCATCATGAGACTTGTTGTTACAGTGTTTGGCATATTGAATATGTCACAGGTAGCCTGCCAGGCTCTGTTGTGCGGGCGAGATACTCTCGGTAGCTTGCCGGGCTCTCTGAGAGGGGCGGAGGAGTCGAACTCGGATCGGCCATGTTGGCCGCTTGTAAGGCAAATGCCTTATCGCTGTGCTATCGCTCCAGCCCTTTCATTATATATATATATATATATATATATATATATAATTTTCTTAAACGTAGTTCATAATAGTTCTTTACAAAAATAGTTCATTACAGATAATATTCAAATACCAATTGCACCGCTGAGCACCTTCCACTTCAATAAAGTGGGAAGTGTGTAAGGGTTGTTGTCTTATTCTGGAGCCACTTAAGCCCGAATATAAGAGAATACAATCAAGTATATTAGAAAACAAACAACTGTGTGATACTTTTGATAAGTAAGTGAGATAGAGTATATGAGGTTGCTTGGCCGAAAATGTGGCAGCACACTCCAGGAAGGCAACTTAACCCCTCTTTTATCTCTCTGGCCCCTGAGCATAGTGCCTTTTTTGTCCAACGGACATTGACTGAAGCATGCGAGAAACTCATCTTAGCACTACCTGTTTTCTTGGTCTCTCCTTGTATTTACCTTTAAAGGAAGATGTGATACAGAGCAGTTCCTGTAAGGCAAGGTAGCCTTTTGTGTTAGTAAGTCCTGAGAACAACCAGGTATGGCCTGTAAACAAACAATAACAAAACCCAAACCCCCACAATATTGCATTACTTTTCTCTCTATAATGAGCATGAGTCAAAATGTTGTGTTTTCCATTTAGAGTGGAGAACAGAATTTTGGGAATGATTGAAGACATGTAGGTTCTTTAAAGAAACCATTCAGTCTCAACTAATGCTTTGCTCTCATGCTCGTGAAAAACAGATAATACCATCCCATCCCATTCCCCTTAGGTTAGGGTTAGAATTGGCTTTTGAAGAGATGTTAGTAATGACTCTGATTATGGTTCTATTTATTTATTTATTTAATGAATTTTGCTTTTTCAATCACAGCCGGGATGCACAGGGGTTACTCATGGCTGTGCCTTCAGGATTACTCCTGGTGGTGCTCAAGGGATCATGTGGGATGCTAGGGATCAAACTTGGGTTGGCCCCATGCAACGTAAACGCCTTACTTGTGGTACTATAGCTCCAGCCTCCTGATGATGCTTTTCTATGAGAAAGGTGTTAACTATTAACAGCAAAAAAAAAAAAATCCTTCACGATTATTAGTTAGATTCTCAAGTTTCTTTGGATTGTTATTTAATTTTAGAGAATGCGTGCACTCCTTAGCTCACTCCTATAACTATTGCTTCCATATTTCATGCCTTTATCTTAATCCGTTTCTTGTCTCTCTCTTTCAAGAACCCCTGTGATTACAATGGGACTTCCTGTATAATCCATGAAATCGCCCCAGTTTTAAGATTATTTAACTTAATCATATCATCATCTGTCATTTTGTGTAAGGCAAGTGTGTGTGTGCCTTGCACTGATCATAGACTCATTGTAATCCTGCTTAGTGCTAGGTGTTATGTTGCCTGAGGCAGAATTTGAACCAGGTGACTGGAATTCTGGTCGCGTTTTACTCCTCAGATGTTGGGGAATTCTCTTTTGTAGAGAAATAGGATAAAGTTGGCTCTGTTCCAAAGCTTTTTTTCCTACAAGCATTCAAACAGTCATGGGTTCGGGTGTTTAAGGCCCCACTGTTTTGCCGAAAACAAAGAATTCCCATCTTAGGCTCCCAAACATGCCTTCAGGCACATAGCCTCTTTTAGGCCAAAGGGCTAACCTTAGTGTGCGTAGTGGGAGTGTGTAGTGGGAGAAAAGCCTATGCACTTTTCAAAGCCTTACACCTGCACTGTGATGATTACTGTGCTTACAAAGAACTTTCTAGGTTCAAGTCACACCATCCGAGCTAGGTGCTATTGTTATCACAGATTACATGTGAAGAAACTGATCCTTGAAGAAATGAAAGGAGTTATCTAAGGTCAACCAAATAGAAAGGAATGGCAAAGGTTGGTATAGAATTAAATTATTGGGGCTGGGGTGATACTGAAGTGTGTAGGGTGCTTGCCTTGCAAGGGGCTAACTCAGGTTAACCCCTGGCACTTCTGATGGTCCCCAGAGCACCACCAGGGATGAACCATGAGTGCAGAGCCGGTAGAAAGTGCTGAACACTACCGGGTATGGCCCAACCTCACCCTTTCTGAAAATAATCTAGTTGTCACTCTTTCTCCAATGAATTATTTGCTATCAACATAGCAGAAGCTTGGTGATGATAAGGTGAATGTCAGTATGCTAAATATATGCATGTCCAGGATCTGGAGAGATAATTGAGTGGGAAGCAGACTTACTTACTTCTTGGGTTTTATCCCTGGCATCCATCTCCAAGACTCCTGCAAGTGATCCCTGAGCACAGAGACATAAGTTAGTCCTGTGTACCGTCAGGTGTGATCTCAAACCAAAACCAGAATAAAACAAATGTAAAGATATCCTAATCCCTGGAACCTGTCATTATGTTGGCAAAAGGAACTTTGCAGATGTGATTAAGATTCTTGTGATGGGAAGAGTTGCCTGGACTTTCCAGGTGGGCTCAATGTTGTTATTACAGAGATAATTATAAGAGAAACAGGAGATTAGAGTGAGTTGTTTGGTTGTTTGAAGGGATGTGTCAGTGGAAGCAAGGGGTTGAAGAGATGCAAGGAAGGAATTATCAGCCAAGCACTGCACAGTGTTTCTGGAAGCCAGTAAAGGCAAGATGACAATTTCTGCCCTGAAGCCTTTAGGAGGAACTAGACCAACAGACACTGAAACTGTAAACCTAAAGAGACCGATCTGACAAGGCTCTAAAGGGACATGGCTACACAACCTTGATAAATTTGGTTAGACAAAAATAACTTTTACATTCTTGGCTTGAAGCAGCTCTTTTCCAGATTTTTAAAATATATTACAATTATTTTGTAGAGAACGAATATTCAGAAACTCACTCAGACCATCCTTTGTTTTTCTTCATTTTTTTCCCCTTTATTTTATTTTATTTTTTTTAAAGTTGTAGATTTACAATTTTTTGTGCCTTGGTTTCAATTATACAATGATCAGATACCCATCCCTCCACCAGTGCCCATTTTCCACCACCATGGATAATATCCCTCCCACCCCCATCCCCCCATCCCCCCTGTCTCTGTGGCAGGGCAATCCCCTGTGTTCTCTCTCTCCTTTTGGGTGTTGTGGTCTGCAAAAGAGGCATTGAGTGGCAAACATGTTCAGTCCATAGTCTACTTTCGACATGCATCTCCCCTCCTGGGAGGATCCTCCAAACATCCTTTATTT